CATTCTACTTCTTAGGATGAGTATGGGGGAGTTTATAACCCCATAGGCAACCCTAGACCAGTGGAAAACTGGAGCCTGAGGATAAACATTCTTGTCTTTCATCCCTAAGGTGGGGAGGTCTGAAGCATGATTCACAGCGTTCCTCACAGCCCTCCCAGGAGAAGGGAGCCCTAGTGCCCACAGCACTGGCCACCTCAGTACAGCACCTTTGGATTGGCCTTCCTCCTCCCTCACTTAAGTCTTCCAGTCCTTAAGTCCTCTTTCCTGGGAGTCATTTCCCAAAATAAGTGACCTGTACACGAGCTTCTGTCTCAGGCTTTGTTTTTTTGGCAGAACCTGGACTGAGACACTGGAATCTCTCTAGTTATGGTTGAAGAGCGTGAGAGTTGTTGTTATTACAATGGACGCTTTACAGGAGGTCATGTGGTATCTAGAAAAAGCATTGAGCAAAGGATCAGGGGAATCTTCCTCTTTGTTATTTGGCCTCGAGCAGGCGGTTTAACCATCAAGTGATGGGTGTGGCTGCAGTGATACGAAGTGAGGAAGACAAGTTGCTAAGTGTGGGCCATTCTGTGAACTGGTTATAAGACTGTCACCTCTGGCATCTACTATAAAGTGTTGGGAGTAGTAAGATAGTTCCCAAATCTAAAGGTTCTGTACAGGAGAGGACTAAGAGAAGTGCAAGTGTAGGGCATGGGCAGGACTTCCATTATTTGAATTGAGGCATAAGATAGAGACTCAGCAGTGAGAAAGAGATCTGTTCTAATCTGTAATAGGGATTGAAATATGGGAGCAGAGCTCTTATCGGAAGGTCAGGTAGCGCAGCAAGGGGCCAGGGATCTTAGTGCAAAATCCCATGGCATTAGGCTGGAACTTGTTGAATTGCATCAACCTAATATGAGAAACTACAAATGGGGAGTAGTCCCAGCTTGGAGGGAAGAGAGGACAAGGAGGCTGGATGCCAACTGAAGTCTTACATGTACAGGCTGGTTAAGCACTATAATTACTTGTTTCATTGTATAGCTCAGGATAATTCTGTGACTTTTGAGTCTCTGTGGTTAGACATCCCAGTACTTAGAGCAAGGGCAGTTGATGTGCTTTCTGCTACAGTAAAGTACAGATGTTGAAGACCTGATTAAATTCTGTCTCTTTACTGATACCCCAAGGGGACACTTAATGAATGATGCTCCCTTTAACAGGAAGAATAATTAACAATAGGTGTATTATTCATATTAATTCAGTTACTGGTTACTATAATTAATGCTATTTAAGAAAATGATCATAATTATAGCACTTTACGATTTACAAAGTATTTTCCCATCCATTTTCTTATCTGAATCTTGTAACATCTCTCTGGCTTAGGTAAGGCAGGTGAGGGTGAGGAGACTATGGCCCATAGAAGAATTTAACCAATTCCCCACCCTTACACATATATTACTCTGTCTATGACTATAGGGAGATAATGGAAATATGCATAAGGAAATCGGATTCACATAGTTCTCAATTGCCTTCCCAAACAATAATGTCCCATCTTTCCTTGTTGTACCAGGACCCATTCCCCAGAATGTTCACATGAATTTTATTTTATTTATTTTTATTTTTGTTTTAAGTAGGCTTCACGCCCAGCATGGAGCCCAGTGCGGGGCTTGAACTCATGACCCTGAGATCAAGACCTGAGCTGAGATTAAGAATCAGACGCTTAACTGACTAAGCCACCCAGATGCCCCTTCACATGAATTTTAAACATTAAAGGGACTTTATTCTTTATAATGCCACCATATTTCATAGCGGGATAAAGTTGAGATCACCTTTGATAGAGGGATTAGCATTCTGGAAACATATCTTTCTAGGACAGAGGACGACTAGCCTTATAGGACTTGGTCAAACTGGAAATTCAGACTCTGAAAAAACATAACCCACCTGCTATGACACTGTTTTCTATTTTTGGCTTTGGCAAGAGAGCCGAGGGCAGTCTCGGTTTTCTTAAGGGCAAGCTGCAAATATGGGTCATACAGCATGGAATATACAGGCATATACATGGGTGCACACTCATGCACCCTGGGACTCTGATTCCCTTTCTAGAACATATTACATATTCGATACAAGAGCATCCACTGAGCCTATTGTACCTCTGGCTGCTTTTACCCCAAAGGTTCTGATATGAAGAAGGTTGCTGGCTGGACCTGTGGCAGAGTCAGTCGTTATTCATTTATTTACTCAAAGAATTTATTGAGCACGTCCATGGATCGGGCCCTAGCAAGACTGTGGGGAAACAGCAAGGAGCTAAATGGACAAAATTCTGTCCTCAGGAAGCTCACGTTCTCTTGGGCCAACTGATGACAGACAGCCAAATAAAAGATAATATTAAAAGAGAATATTAAGATATTAAAAGATGATTGATATTATGAGAAAAACAAGGTGAGAGGTTAGAGTACCATACAAGGGTCATGCAAATACATTCAGAACCAGAAAATGATGAGGAAGCTGCTTTAGATAGTGTGATGAATGATACCCTTATTCAGAGAGGGCTCACAAGTAAGAATACCACTACTTCTGGGACAGACGACAATCTGTTTTGGCTCCATGGGGCTGGGCCGTGACGTCATAGACGTTGATGTTATCTGTGTGCCTGGGACAGATCAAGTCCAGAGGGATCAACTTACACGGGCTAAATTCACAAGTGATGGACAGACACACCAGAGCCTATTAGGTCTGTTTTATGTAGAGACTTAAATTTAAGTTCTGGGACTCAGGAAAGCTGGTCTGGTGAGCAGGCTACTAGAGGAAAAAAAACTAGTGATATTAACAGACAATGCTATTATGTTATCGTTACCTGATTTAGCACATCACTAATAAGATAAGTTTACTTAGAGAATTGTAAGATTGAATGCTGGCGTGTCAGTGTACCCTATTTTTTGTTGTCGCTGAAGATATTCTGGTTTCTTGGCTAATACATTTCTTTCTTTTCTTTTAATTTTTTTTAAGTTTATTTATTTTTGAGAGAGAGAGAGAGAGAGACAGAGACAGAGTGCTCTCAGGGGAAGGACAGAGAGAGAGAGAGAGAGAGAGAGAGAGGAGAAAGAGACACAGAATCTGAAGCAAGCTCCATGCTCTGAGCTCTCAGCACAGAGCCCGACACAGGGTCTGACCCACAAACGATGAGATCATGACCTGAGCCAAAGTCAGACAGTTAACTGACTGAGCCACCCAAGCATCCTGGCTGATGCTTTTTCTAAACTCTTTAGCAGCCTATCCTGATATTTAACTGCTTCAGAGAAGTTCAGTAGAGTTGATGAGATGACACTAATTTCCCATTATTTCATTTTGGTTGGGTCTTGTTGCATACTTCGGTTTCTTGATGGAGTTGAAAGAGACACTCCCAAAACAATCCACAATCACTAGTAACTTTGTCACCTTAAAAGAATACTTTTATAAGTTTATTTCTTTTGAGAGAGAGAGAGAGAGAGACAGGCAGAAAGAGAGAGGGAGAGAGAGAATCCCAAGCAGGCTCCGCGCTGTCAGCACAGAGCCTGACTTGGGGCTCAAACTCACAAACTGTGAGATTAGGACCTGAGCTGAAATCAAGAGTTGGATAGTCAACCGACTGAGCCACCAAGGTGCCCCTAAAATAGTACTTTAAGAGATGCCTGGGTGGCTCAGTCGGTCGAGTGTCCAAGTTCGGCTTAGGTCATGATCTCACAGTTCGTGAGTTCCAGCCCCACGAACCATGAGATCATAATCTGATCCGAGGTCAAGAGTCAGGTGCTTAACCGACTGAGCCACCCAGGTTCCCCCAAAATAAAATTGTCCCAATTTATAGACGACATGATTCGCTACATAGAAAATTACAAGGATTCTTAAAAACAACAAAACAAAACAAAACACAACAAATGAACCTCTTAAAACTAATAGGTGAGTTCATTAAGTTTGCAGGATATAAAAATAAACATACATGGGGCGCCTGGGTGGCTCAGTCAGTTAAGCCTCCGACTTAGCTCAGGTCATGATCTCATGGTTCCTGAGTTTGAACCCTGTGTCGGGCTCTGTACTGACAGCTCAGAGCCTGGAGCCTGCTTCAGATTCTGTGTCTTCCTCTTCCTTTGCCCTTCCCCCACTCACTCTCTCACACTCTTTATCGCTCTCAAAATAAATAAATAAACATTAAAAAAAGACTAACTCACTCTGCTTCCAAATCCTATGACCATCTTACTTTCCGTTACCTTGCCTTAAGCTCAAGCCAAACCGTTTGCTTGCTTTCCTCCAGTCTGCTCACGATTCCTGGGAATGCCCTTGTGACAGTGTCTTGCCCTGTAATGGCCCCCTGTTCTTCTGAGCCCAGGTGGATGTCAGAACTTGTGACATCATGGGACATTTCCACGTGAAATCCATAGATGTCCAGCTTTGTAATCAGTAACCACTGCCACATGTGTTCTCTGCAGCCCTTGGCCAGAACCCTGAGCATACCCCTTCTAGCGCACTTTGGAGGTGAAGTGCTTGGAATGCATTGTCTCTCTCAGACACACCTAGTACCTGCACTTGGCCCATCAATTCCCCTTCCTGGGCTGTCTGTCTCCGCCCTTGTCCCTTCCTGTTCCCACTCAAATGTCATAATTCTGTGTGATGGTTTCTGAACACAGAGAACTTGTAATAGCTCCACAGTTGGATCTGCTCCTTCAGCACAGGGATGGAGACATTTATTTCCTTTTGCTTGTATACTCATCAAAAAAGAAAGCCTCTAATGTGTGTGATTTTAGGAAAATCACTTCATATCTTTCAGTTTTCTTATTTGTCAAAAGAGGGTAATTCTACTCCAGGTTTTGCAAAAGCTAAAGAAACAAAAACAAAAACAGAAACAAAACTGAGGTGCTAAAAAGCTTGGGCAAAGTCACACTGTAACTTGAGAGATTTGCACATAGACTGATATCACTAGAAACTGGAGATTTTTTATTATTACTATTACTATTATTATTTTTGTAACATGCCTATGATGCATCTAGCAGGGAAATCCTGGAGGCAAGACCCTTGAGGAGAGACGTTCTAGCCTGGATGCCGAGATAGACTCGCTGACTAGCATCTTGGCCGACCTTGAGTGCAGCTCGCCCTACAAGCCTCGGCCTCCACAGGTAAGATCCTTCTGTAAATATGGCCACATTGCTGGCCACAGAGAGTCCACAGTTGCCCAAGAGAACATGCTGCGTCTTATTGCCTTTCCGTTCTTTTTTGATCTTCTCAGGGTCAGTGGTCTATGTTGTCTTTTTATTGAATAAATATCAACGTATGTTAGTTGACAGAAAGCTTTTAAATTGAATTTGCTAGTATTTTTTAAAAGAATACAAGATGTTTGAAATGTTGTGAAAATTAAATTTCTTCTTATTTTATTGCACTGTTCTTTTTCTGACTTTCCCTGTGTGAACTCTTTTGTTGTATGTCTGTATGGTCTTCACAAATAGGATTTAGCATGGCTATGTTAAAGTTAAGGTGAGGGCTATATCTTCTGTAAAGAAACCTCTTATGTTGGATGTTAAAGTGGCTTTCGTTTTCTGGTTGTTTTTGTAAGTAATGCTATGAGGGACATGTTCATGTATATTTTCTTTTTAAAAATATTTTTGAACGTTTCCCAAAGTTTATTTATTATTTATTTTTGAGAGAGAGAGAGAGAGAGAGTAAGTGAGGCGGGAGGGGCAGGGGTGGGGTAGAGAATCCCAAGCAGGCTCCATGCTGTCAGCACAGAGGCCAACATAGGGCTCGATTCCATGAACCATGAGATCATGACTTGAGCTGAAATCAAGAGTCAGACGCTTAACCAACTGAGCCACCCAGGCGCCTCTCATCTATGTTTTCCTGGGATCTCTTTCTCTGTCTCAGATTTCCTCGGGTTGGGATTTCTTCACTGAGGAGTATAATCACTTTCTTAACTTTTCTTTCCAAAGATTCGGAATAGCTTTCACTATTATACTCCTCAGTCTCACCAGAATTAGTGGTAGCAATTAGAATCTGTTTTTTGATTCTAATGGAGCCTTGATATGAGCTCTTCTGTGCATTTCTTTGCTTACTTTAGAGCGTGGCTATTTCTCTGCTCCATAGTTTATTATCTACATTTCAGAAGCTGAGCTTCCACTGCTGTTGGCCGGCTCCCCTCCTTCAGGTCTTAGGAAGGCAACGGTAAATCTATTCTAGGGCTTCCGAGTCCTCACAAGACAGCCAGCAGAACTCTAGGTGCAAACATGGGATTGGCACCGTCGTCGCTGTTGTTTGACTGGAGTGATGTTTGTTTGACTAAGTGACAGCGCATACGGCGCTCTGAGTCTCACTCTGGCTCTTGAACAGCAGCTCCTGAATTCATGATGGTTTCTTTCATGAACGAAAACCCTGTCCTGCCTCTCCGCTGTCACCCATTTCCACACGTAAGGTGGCAGTACTTTCCTCTTTACCTCTTTACATAGTCCCATTACCTTTTCTGAACACATAATGGGTTCATCAGCCGTGTGGGGGCACCAGGCAAAAGACACCAGAGCTTAGTGGTTCCTCACCTGTCTTGGCTCTTGGCTCTTGGCTCTTGGCTCTTGGCTCCAGTAACAATGCATTTCATTTCTGGAAAAATGCCCTGAACTGCAGGTATGTAGCAGGCGCTGTGGTCTTTTGGGGGGACCTTTTGGGAGAAGGAAAGTCGGTGGTTGATAGGGCGAAAAAGAGAGCCAAGCCACCATCTTCCAAGAGCCCATGATTTCAGAAGTTAAACTATGGCAAATATGGTAGAAGCACGTGAAAGTAGTACTTTCTGAGTACTCAGAACTCTGAGAAGGTTTATCCGAAGACTTGCATGTTCAGCTACCGGAATCGGTGGCATTGGATTGTTGGGGTGCAGAGGGGAGAACAGCATGAGCTGTAAAGCAGGAAGGTCCAGGGTGTATTCAGAGAATGGCAAGCAGCAGACGAGGCCAATGAAGGCTTGGAGTGGGCTCTAGGACCAGATGGTTCCCTACTGCGAGTCTGTGGACACATGTGAATGCCAGATTGACATTTTGGCCTGATTTTTATAGACAATGGAAAATAGGTGAAGGTTCTTAAGCAGGGGAAAGCTAAAATTCATTTTGGATAACAACAACAAACCCAACAACAACATCGGGAAGGATGCAGGAGGATGAACCCAAGTCTGAGAATTATTCTTCAACATGCCTTGCTGACTTCATAAGCAAGCTTATGGCCATTGTTTGGTGCTAAACATTTTTCCAGTTCTACCCAGCAAATACCTCAAGCCAAGTTTCTCAGGACAGTGAAACCACTGACTTTTCATCTGGACTCATCTGTCTTCTGCTCAAATACTATTTTGACCCACCCTTTTTGTAATAGGACTTTTGCTTAATCTTTTTTTTTTATCTCCTAAATTATTATACACTAATACACACTGGAGAGGTTCTGCCCAGAGTTTTTTGCTTAATATAGCATTCATTCTTTAAGGCTATGTCTGTGCCTGCCTCCCATAAATCACTGCATTTTAATGGATTATTCAGCAGCTCCGTTTCTGTTTGAGCCATCTTACTGTGCACACAAACTCGTAATCACTGATATTTGGACAGTACTTTACTGATTGTAAAGCACTTTTGCATTTTCTCACTTGAGTAAGGTACAGATATCTCAACTGCTAGATACAGATAGTGTGCTAACTTTGTAGATGAGGCAACTACGATGTGGCAGGTAAGTGACCTTCTCAGGGCACATGAGTACAGGGTGGGCACAGCTGGGCCTTGGCTTTTTTGTGTGTTTGGTTCTAAGTTCTCGAATAAGACAGAGGATGCCAGGATTTTTGTTTGTTTATGTTTTGTTTTTGTTTTTTTTTACCAGTGACAAACTATACAGTCATATGAGTAACGGTTTCCCTTAAATATGACTTTCTCCTAAAAAGTAAACCATTTAGAGGGTTAAAAAATGTTAATAATGGTAACCCTTAAATAGAGTAAGTTAAGAATTAGGAGAAAGATCTACTTTCATCGTGCCTAAAATTAAAGAGCGATCCTTTCTAACCTTTGTTTTATTATTCTAATTTAGGAAATCAAGAGTTAATTGGGAGATACATCCCATTTTTCTGAATTATCTTCACTCTGGTGGAACTGAATTAGATGTGTTAGTATTTATTGGTTAACATAATTATATGCTGTGAGAACAATAATCACACACTTAAAATATTAAAAATTATGTGTCAAGAGAAGATGATATCTGCAGGAGACTGTGTTGTGTTGTAATTAAAAGGTACTTGGAAAGTCCTAGAAATGCACTGTTAATGCCCAACTTTGATGTTTCCATTTTTGATCCAAAGCAAATTGCAAAATCTGTTGAGTCACGCGAACACTTAAAGTAGGCTAGTAGGTCTATGATTTCTCATTATTTAAGTAGGTATTGTATGCTTTCCCAAGCCCACCTCTGAATCACCTTTGTAAAGGCTGCTTTGAGTCATGGATCTGAGGGAAAATGATGATATATGTGGAATATTTGCCGAGCGAGAGGTCCAAAAGAGCTCTATTCATGTAACTTAAAAAAAATGTCTGCGCTCTTAAAAATAGATTTTATGGAGCATTTTCCTCCTTTTTCCAAGCAAACGTTTCCTGCTCTCAGATTTCCCAACTTTAGTTTTGTGTGCTGATTTATCTATTTTTTATTTTGGGAAATGTTGCTTAATTTTACATATTCATTCATTCACCTAACATTTATTGAGATCCCACTGTGGCTTAGACATTGGAAATACAAAGATCGGTATCAACAGGTCCTTGCTCTGGAATAATTCCTAGTCTTAGAGAAAAGACAAGCGCATAAACAATTCTAAAGGACACAAAAGGAAGACTTCCCTGTTGTGCTACTTGCAGTCACCATGTGACTTACCAGATGTTGAAATTGTTGGAAAATCAAAATTAGGAATATCAGCATTATACTTTATGCCTTTCTACAGAAGTGTCCAGGAGGACCTCACAGAGCAGGGAGCAGGTGTACTTACTTGGTTGTATATATCATGGGAAGCGCGTGGGATTCAAGGTACCAGAAAAACAGGAATGAGGAAGCCAGGGAATGTTGAAAGCGAATGCCTTGCTTGAAGAATGAGTTAGGGACATTGTGACATATAGGGTATGTGGAATGCAAAGGGCAATGGTGGATGAAGGAATCACATGTACTTAATACCTAGGGAGCCCTCTTGATGCCCAAGGACTCATAGTAAGAGGAGGAATCAGCGGGGGGGTGGGGGG